TCCCTACCTGAATTCTCCAGCTCATAAGGCTGGGCTATTCTTCCCTATATAATCTGATTATTTTGATTACCTGGTCTCTGTACCTTTGGGCCTCCTGACTGCTGCACCTAGTAGCCCGCCTCACACACACACACACACACACACACACACACACACACACACCTCTCTCTTCAGCCCTTGCTTCCCCTCCCCGCCTCCTCACATGGCTCAGTCTGGTCATGTCCACTCTGGACTCTTCCCTTCCTCTGGTTACACTACCCCAAATCTACAATAAAACTTCTCCTCCACCATGCCTAGGAGCAGTCATGTTCCCTTCATTTCTAGTTCTTTTTTTCATTCGGCACAGTTGGCTGCCACGGAGGTTGTAGCATGGATAGTGGATTAACCTCTGCTAACTGCAGACAATGCAAGCACGTGTTTGCCCTCCTTTCCCCTTACCCCATCCTTAGGCTTCCATCTGATCCCCTTGGCAAAGTATTCTCCCTTTCCTCCCTGCCTCGTCCCTATTCTGTCCCACAAAGGAAGATCCACACAGGGGGTGGGAGTAGAGAAGGAGGTCAGCCAGGCTTCAGGATTTAGCTCTCAATGGAGCAATTCTCTACTTAGAACGAGTCTGTATCGAGTACTTTACAAGGCTGTCAGCACTGTTTGCGCTCGGAAAAGTAAATCTTATTAAAAATGGAAGGTCTGCTCCACTGGGGGGCCCAATTTGCATATCATCTCTTTAAAGAAATGGTTCATACATAAATTTATCAAAGGATTTAACAGAGTCCAGGAAAATCTGAGGCTAAGCCAGCGCTCTGCACCTACCGCGCACCACACAGAATCCGAACCTCAGCAAACAGCAGCGTGCGCACACATAGAGCAGAGCCGGTGGGCATCCCAACCCATGCTCTGACTTTCAGTGGCGGGACCTTGAGAGTTGGATTTGTATGGGATCCTCCGACAAGGACTGAAGCCATCTCTCTAATTACAGACTCCTGGGGAGCCCCTTCTTAGAGGATTTCATGGAGATTCTGCTTTCTGTTCTCCAGGCATTCACCATTAAAGCGAGGAGAATATGTGTGCTCACACTTGCATCCATGAGGGCAGGAGAAAGAATCATCTTTGGCCTTCTTCGTAGTCTTCTGAAACAGCGGCGGCCATGACATATTTTAAAGACCTTAAATTTAGAATGTGCTTTCAAGGTTTCCAGAGAGCCAGTTTTGTTGACCAAGTTCCTTTGGCTCTGACTGAGTAGATGGGCATTGTCTTGTGAAAAATAAGTCATGAAATGTCTAGTGTTGTTTATTTTATGTAGTATGAACTATTTGTCATCTCATAACAGTTGATCAAATTGGGGGAAAAAAAGGTAAAAATTTGGAGATGGCAAAGTGGTGTAAGGAAGGGAGTATCCCCCATTTTATAGGTCGGAAACTGGTTATTCAGGGAGCTCTCTCTCTCTCTCTCTCTCTCTCTCTGTGTGTGTGTGTGTGTGTGTGTGTGTGTGTGTGTGTGTGTACTCATGCCATGGTAGACTTGTGGAGGTCAGAGTTCAACATCAGGTGTCAGTCCTAACCTTCCCTCTTGTTGGAAACAGGGTCGCTTGTGTTTGTCACTGCTAGCTAGCTGTCCCCCAAGCTCCCAGGGCCTCTCTGGTCCTGTTTCACTGTAGGAATGCTGGGATTACTGGCACAGGCGACAGCACCTGACTTTACATCAGTTCTGGGGATTCGAACTCAGGTCCTCAGGCTGTTTACCCACTGAGCCAGCCCTCTGACACCTCAAAGAGCGTGTTTTCAAGTGGCCATTCTGTCATTGTGGCCTCCAAACTCTCTGCTCTTGCTCTTGCCCTGCAGTGAGAGTCTTTAGAGGACGTGATGATAACCGAAGGTGTTTTACAAAATGCCTCTGGCGATCTTGATGGAGTTGTTAGAATTCCTTCTGCTGGTCCCTAGCAGAAGCTCACTTCCACAGTCCTATAAATCACTCCATAAAAGTTATTTACTTCTCAGGTTTTATAGCCCCAAAGACCAGCAGTTGTGTGTCCCGAAAATAGGCCAGAAAGGAGAGAAATAATTTGGGGCTACTCCTTTGGTGCCTCTACGAAACCTCAGCGTTGGGAGATTTGCCTCTGAGCCAGGGAAAGCGCTGAATGTGAGCAGAAGTTCTGCTGCCTGCTTCCTCCCGTCTATCCCGCAGCTCCCGGGAGAAGGAGGGCAGCTTTACAGTTTCCAGTATGACTCCCCCCTCCCTTCCTTTGCTTTTATGGATTTGTGACATTATTCTTAGATATAAGAGTCAGGAAGTATAGATTTTATATAGATATCTAAAATCATATATATATAAATGTATTATATATAATAAAATAGAAGCAGAAGTGTCTAGGGAGATGAAGGGCACTAATGGGAGAGAGAGAGTGATGAGAACAGAGAAGTAGATGATGAAGTGAAAATGTTTCAAATATACAATATATGCTTATATTAAAACATTCTTTGTATGAGCCGGACGATTAAGAGCAGAGCCATAAAATGCTGTCTCCTGGGCCAGCCTTGGCCAATGTACTCATGAACTCATAGCAGTTTCAGTGGCCTGCACAGGGCCTACAAGAGCGGGCCCATCAATAGTCCATCAAAGATGTGGGAGGGACTTAAGTGGGCTGGGCCCTCCCTGGGAAATAATGGCAATATGTGGCTACTTGGGGCTGGGAAGCCATTGTTTTCAGTGGTACCCACTGGTGAGTGTCCATGCTCCAGTGGCTACCCATCTGGCCCTGATTACATTCAGTGGGTACCAAAAAAAAAAAAAGCCAAAAACAAAACAAATGGACATAAAAGTGGGACAATTGAAACCTTGTCAGAAAAAGTGAGGTTGGTGGGGATCAAGTGGGGATAAGAAAGGGTAAAGAAATTAATGTGATTGCAATGTGTATATATATATATGTATATATATATAATATATATATGAAACTGTCAAAGGAACATTTTTAAATTTCCTTGTGTAATACAATACCATGTAGGATGAACATATACAAAGATTTTAAGATTTAGAGATTCAGGACATGCCTATAAACATGTGCCCCTAAATCAGAGTCCCTGGAATGAGATCAGAGTCAAACCGGATCCCAAGCAATGGTCATGGACACAGCTCAGAGCTCCTTCTCAAGGCTGCAGTCAATGTAGTAGCCTCAGAGTGGAGCTGGTCATTCTGTCTGCCCTGAGCACCCACTTCTGATAAGGTGTCCAACCTTAAACAGGGTGACCTAGAGAAGAGACACCCCCACCCCAGACACCACTTCATCAGCCTCTGACATGTGATCGTGGAGGGGGCGTGTTCTGAACCTGACCCTGTGCCATGTCACCAGCCTTCACACGCCTGTGCCCTGAGAGGCCTAAACATCAGCCCCGTAGCTACATTCTGCTTTCTGCCTTGCTCCTGAGGCACGAGTTGTACACAAACCACACGCTCTTGAGTGTTCCAAACCACTGAACCTTGTCCGGCTACAGGGCTGACCTCCACTGAGGTATAAGGCTTTGAAAGGCAAGTGTCCCCACAGGACTCAACCGTGTGCTAAGTAAAACAAAGGGCAGAATCCAGCAGGACTTAGAGAGAGAGAAGTACATTTGGGGTAGGAAGTGAAGGAATGACGTCGTCTGAATTCCACAATTCACACGGATCCTGAAAACTGAAGGAAAGAAAAAGCCAATGTTTGTAGCCCTTGCATATGCCCAGGTGTCTCCACAACACCCTGTATACCAGTAACGTTTTTCACTGCTGCAGCAAAAGAGCTGACAGGAGGCAATATAAGAAAGGAAGGGTCTGCTGTGGCTTATAGTTCCAGAGCCTATAACATACAGTGCACCATGGCAGGAACACATAGTGACTGATGATGACTGGTCATGCATCCATGATCAGGAAGCAGAGTGAACAGGAGATGGGGCCAGCTGTGAGTTCTCAATGCCTGTCCCTGTCCCTAGAGACCCACTTCCTCCAGGGAAGCTCCACCTCCTAAATGCTCCACAACTTCCCCACCCAGCACTCCCTAGGGAGTGAGCTTACAAACACAAGAGTCTAGGAGGGCCATATATTCATGCTACACTTGGGGCCACCTCTCCCCCTGAAAATACAGATGTGTCTGCAAGACAGATCCCAAGCTAGGGGTCCTTCCTGGGCCCTATGGGCCTGCTGCGCACCTCCTCTCTGACACTTCCATCTCAGTGAAGATACAGCTGTCATTCCGGAGGGCAAGCACCTGTGGCAGAATCTCCGAGGGTAGAATTTGGATTGTTATTGCACACAGGACTAAGAGCCCAACCTCTGTCCGTTTAAAACCCCTGAGGTGGCCCAGCTTCTCTTCCAGAGACAAGTTTGACTATGACTGTCTCTCCTTTATCTCTAGTATCAATATTTCCACAAACTTCTGCTACAAAAGAAAAAAACTCTTTACTTCTCATCAGGTCAACAGTCATTGGGGCAGAACACAAGAGTGACCATGTTGCTCCCAGTCTCAAGATCTCAGAATGACGTCTGTCAGTCTGGGACCGGACCTTTGCGTGGCTGTGGTGATATAGACTGAGAGCAATGTAAAGGGAGGGTCTATCTATTTTGTGCATGGTTTCAGAGATTTCAGTCCCTTGTGCCCAGGGTGGCATAATAGGATAGAGAAACTTTCGCCCTAGTGGGCTGGGAAGCAGAGAAAAGGAAATTATCCACACTCCACTTTGTTCCTTTGTCAGCGCCTTCTGTTCCGCAGAGGTTCCCAGCCCAAGGGATGGTGCTGTCACATCCGGAATGAAAGTTCCCCAACAGTTGGTCCTCTCTGGAAACAGATTTATAAATATACCTGGAAGCACATCTCACAAATCTCCTTAGGTGATTTTAAATATAGTCAGGCTGACAATAAAGACTAATCGTCACCCTGCCATAAACACCAAGGCTGGTGGCTCCAGGAAGGTTGATACGTTCCCTGCAGTGACGTCCTTGCAGCCTAAGCTGTTCTGACCACCCTCTGTGTCCCCTAGGCTTGGACACCAAACAGGCGCAGGTCATCGTCCTGTCCTCTGGGACCAAGTGCATCAGCGGTGAGCACATCAGTGACCAGGGGCTCGTTGTCAACGACTGCCACGCTGAAATTGTGGCCAGGCGGGCATTTCTTCACTTCCTCTACACTCAGCTGGAGCTGCACTTGAGGTAAAGGGGCCCCTGGCATGGGCAGGTCTGACACACCTTAGCTAGTGAAAAGGCAGGCGACAAGGCAGTTCAGAATGTGCCATGCACTTGGCACCATATAGCATCTGTGTTTATTCAGACTTGGAGCGCCCTTTGGATACTGCACAGACACGGAAGTGTTCAGTTGCCTGATTTGGCATTACACCCAACATCTCACTCCGGGAAGCATACTGCTTGCCTTCAGGTTACACACACAAGTTACCGCACAGGTGCCCACAGGCATGACACACAGGAAGACACCTTGCCATGGCTCATTCCACTTGGTGATTTTTTTTCAACTAAAACACTCAGGCAGCAACGATAACATCCCTCAAAAAAGCAATTTTCTTTATGAAACTCAGATATTCACAAGAGCGCAGGGCACAGCCATTCCCTGGATCTTACATATCTTCAGTAAGCTATTTATCCAACCTGCTCCTCAAATTACAAATGTCAATGGGACAAGAAAGCAATACACCCATGGATCGCAGGGAATTTCTTGCAACAAAAAAAATGCAAACACCAAAAAGGAGAGGACAAAACAGGGAAAGACAGAGAAAAGAAGGTGAAGGACAGAGAAAGGGAGGAAAGAAGAGAGAGGGAGGGGAGGGAAAGAGGAAGAAAAGGAGGAAACTGACTTGGCTGTCTCTCAGGAAATAGGAGTCATTGCTCTCTGAAACTGCAATTCCGTCGATGGAGTTGAAAGACTGTTTGGTATAATGTGAGATAACTTGAATCGATTAGCTTGCTCCCTGGGGAAAACCTTCATTTCGGCCATGGAAAGGTGCCAGGTTAACACTGACACTTCTGCTCCACTCTGACAAAATTGTGTCCACTTCAAGCAGGGCTCACAGGTCAGCAATTTCTACAAAAGAAAGAGGGTCCCCTCTGCAGCCTGGTCAGTTTGGGTTTGAGAATTTCTCAACCAGTGTAGCTTCCTAGACAGTTCAGAATTATTCATGTCTAGCTAGGGCCATCTCTCACGGGCCAGGCTCATAAATGGGCTGTCGTTTTATTTCCTGTCCCCAGTTTTAATCTCAGGGTCAGGCTGTTTTCATTGTGTGAACCAAAGGCAAATGACTCTTACAAAATACACGGTAGCCACCTTGATAGAGGTATTCGATACTTTGTAGTTCTTGTCCTAAGAAGTCAAGTCACCCTGTCCTGGTGGCCTCAGATCCCCACATCCCCACATTACCAAATACGTGGGGATTATTATCCATTCCCTAGACTTTTAGATTTCAAGTCAGGAGATTTGAGTAAAGTCATGTACCCTTGTGTGTGCATGTGTGTACTTGTGTGCGCATGGGTGTGCGAAGGTGGAGATCAGAGACAAACCTCAGATGTCATTTCTCAGAAGCCATCTACCTGAGACAGGAGGTTTCACCGACCTGAAACTCCCAAAACAGGGTAATCTGATTGGCCAGTAAGGGATGAGAATCAGCTCTGTCTCCACCTCCCTGGCGTGGGATCAAAAGCGCATGCCAGCAATCCCGTATGTTTTTAAACGTAGGTTCTAGGAAATAAACTTGGATCTTCATGCCTGCCAACCAAGCCATCTCCTAAGCCTGCCATATACGTTTTAACGATGATTTTCTGGAATGAACAGGTGCTAAGAAATGTAGTCAATTTGATGGAATTTCTGATGTCCCCATGGCAGCCATCAGGAAATAGCAGGCTGTCATATTAGCTGGAATCTCTCTGGAAGACACAATAAACCCCAGCAGAAGCACAGGTAGATTTGCTCATGTGACACTCCATACACATTCCTGAAGCAAGCCAGTCACAGTGGTTTAATTGCCATGGGTCTCCTAGACAGAATGTTCTTTTTTTGCATCTTCCGGCTGCCCTTTCTTATCGTTTGAAACAGGGTTCCTTGAATCCACTAATAACGGCCTCTTAGAGGGGCTTTAGTGAGTGGCTCATTCACATGAACCTGTTAGCAAGTGCAGAAGTCACACAAAGGGAAAAAGGGCCCAATTGATGCCAAGCAGACTCAAATAAAGGCAATACCTTAATACACTCAATTAATTTTTATCTTTGCCCGGGTTTGGATGCATTTTAGGCACCTCACAGTTATCTGGAAAAATCTAAAATGGTCACACCCATCCCTGTATGCAGGAGGGTACCAAAAATGGCTGCCAAGGGTCTCAAGAACAAGTGAGCTTTCCCTCCGTGGGTCTGGCTCTGCACTGGGGAACCAAGACTGGATGCAGTTGCTCACAGGACTGCAGGAGAAGAGCCACACATGATGGAGGAGTCTGCTTGGGCACAAGAAAGGAGGCAGTAACAACTAAGCTTGGAGGAGTCTCGAGGATTTCTGGGGACACAATGTCCATTCTGCTGCCTAGGAGATCTCAAGGCCCTGCGATGCAAAATCATCACCAACGGGGCAGAACTTGTACAAACAGCAAGAATGGCAGAAAGCAGACTGCAGGGGTTTGCAGAAGGGTCTGGAAGAAAAAACACAGCTCAGTTTTTCAATGCCCAGTGTGGTATCGTTCCTCCTTAGGGAGGCAGGGTTGCTCAAAATGTGGGGTTAAAGGCTATAAAGAAGGTTTTCATGAAGCAAGAAGATATAAAGCTCCAAGATTAGGAGGCATGGGTTTGTTCTAGATCTACCCAGAATGATTTTTAAAAAGCCAATTCTGCACTGTTTGCTGTTTCCACCTAGTTTGTTGGCACTCAAGCTCAGACACTGCTTAAAATCTCTTTTCCCTCCATTGCACACCCTAGCGCCCACTTAGGCTGCTTTAGTCAGTAGTGTCTCAGGACACCTCGTGAATGGTGACTTGCAGGCACAGAGGACTGTGGTTTTGTAATGGTAGATACTGGCTTGTAAAAGATAGATCTCAAATGGTTGGAGAGATAGTTCAGTTTGTAAAGTGATTCTCACACAGAATGAAGACCAAAGTATGACACTAAGAATTCATGCCTAAAAAGAAGAGGGAAAAAGCCGGGCACAGTGGCACGTGCTTATAATCCCAGAGTTGAGAAGGTGGAGACAGGCAGCCCCTGAGGCTCACTAGCCAACCTAGCCTACACGATGAGTTCCAAACCAAGACTCAATGTCAAAAAAAAAAAAATTGGTGGATGATACCTGAGGACCTGAGGAATAACACCTGAAGCTGTCTTCTGACCTACATGCACACACACGAGAGAGGAGAGAGAGAGAGAGGGAGAGAGAGAGAGAGAGAGAGAGAGAGAGAGAGAGAGAGAGAGAGAGAGAGCTAAAGTGTGACTGCTCAGGGAGGATGGAGAGGGAAACATTACTGCTGGTTGTGTCTGTTCCTAGGTAGTTTCACTGAGGCCTGTTCCCAAAGTGTTCATGCAAGAGGCAAACAACATATGAGCGTAGAGAAGGTAAAAGCTGGGGAACTGCTAACCCCACAAAACAAGACAAAAGCAAGCACCAGCAGAACATCTTCATTTGTTTTGTTGTAAGTGACCTACATCCTCTTTGTGTCCATAGCAAGCATCGAGAAGACTCCGAGAGATCAATATTCGTTCGTTTAAAGGAAGGAGGCTACAGGCTTCGAGAAAACATCCTCTTCCATCTCTATGTGAGCACGTCCCCTTGCGGAGATGCCAGACTCAACTCTCCCTACGAAATCACCACAGATTGTAAGAAACCACAAGTTTGCCTCTTGTCAATAAACAATGCCAGGCCACCTTGGCCAAGGCATCTTGTGTGTAGTGTGGATGGATGGATGGATGGATGGATGGATGGATGGATGGATGTGAATCATTGCTACAATTAGCTAGATACCTCCAAAACCTCAGTCTGAATTGCTCCAACCATTGCAGAAAAGTAGTTTGGGGTCTAAAATTAGCTATAGAATTACCATAGCACTCTGCTTTGTTTTAATAGGTCAGACAATCCCTGTATCCCAGGCTGGAAAATGGAACCAAAGAGAAAGCAAATGAGAATTACATGGGGTGAAAGCAAACTCAAACTAGCTCTTTTTGCCTTCATTTGCAACTTGGATGAGAAAGAAACTCAACTTTTGCAACATAGCCAGGGGCCAAAGTATAGTGTCCATTAACTTAAAAATTCCATTACTAAACCCTTCTCTAGGACCCACAGTGCCAGTCCCCTCCCTTACCGCTGTGCATTCCCAGGAGGGAGAACAAAAGTGGGTGTCCACAACGTCTTTGGTGTCATTGATGCCACTGTGCCTTGACAATAAAAGAGAAAAATCAAGGACTCTTACCTTCTCACTTAAATTATGCTAGATTCTATTATTGTAACATGCATACATCTTTTACTTTTTTATGTGTATACCACACACACACTCACAGTCTTCCAAACTCTTTTTCTGTTTTCATTCTTTCCTTATTTATTTATTGATTTGTACATATGTGTGATGTGTGTACGTGCGTGTGTGTGCACGCGCACACATACGCATGGACACATGTGTGACACAGTGCACCTGTGGAGGTCAGAAGACAACCTCAGCATCCATCCTCACCCTCCACTTTATTAGACAGGTTTTTTTTCTTTGTTGCTTGTGGCTGTGCACAACAGGCTCACTGGCCCCTGAGTTCGGGGGATTCTCCTGTCTCGGCTTCCCATCTCACTATAGGAGTACTGGGATTGCAGATGTTCAACACTGCACCCAGCTTTACATGATTCTAAAGGTGTGAGCTCAGGTCTTCAAGCTTGTACAGAAAGTGACCATCTCACAGACATGTGCACTGATATGGGAGTCCTCTCTATATGCTGTGATTACCATTAATGAATAAAGAAAACTGCCTTGGCCTGATAGGGTAGAATAGACGTAGGTGGGGAAAACTAAACTGAATGCTGGGAGAAAGGAGGGGGAGTTAGAGAGAAGCCATGGAGCACTGCCAGAGACAGACGCCAGAACTTTAGCTGGTAAGCCACAGCCTGGTAGTGATATACAGATTACTAGAAATGGGTTAAACTAAGATGTAAGAGTTAGCCAATAAGAAGCTAGAGCTAATGGGTCAAGCAGTGATTTAAAGAATATAGTTTCCGTGTGATTATTTCCATTCTGGGCATCCGGAGTAAACAGGTGGCCTCCTACACACACACACACACACACACACACACACACACACACACACTTTCTCTAAAAGTCTTAGGGAAGGAAGTGTTGTGCTCTGTGATCTCCCATGGTTTATTCTATTCCCATTGCCCTTGGGCCAAAGCTGTGTCTACTATCATGTTGGCTAGGCACCACCACCACCCTCACCCTGCTGGGGCAGTGTTGTAGTTTCTCAGATGGTGTGTTCCCTTTTCTGATTCTCACTCCAGCCTGGCTCTCCCATTTACTTTCTAAAGCATGTGAAATGTAGGGAATCCCTGCCAAACTCTTTCTTAAGGGAGAGCAATGGAGTTGACAAAAATGAAAAAGAACTTTTTTGAGTAATTATCCAACTTGAGAGGTAGACAAATGGGCTAAACATATATGGATTTAAAGACCTACTGCTTTCCAGTGTCTTCTTTGTCTTTGTGAGCATCCTCTACACAAGCCTGGCACACAGCAGGAATGTGATAAATGTTCTTCCTTTCCTGGCTTTGGAGATTGGATCATAAATGTAACCTCATCTACAAGGAGAAAAGAGGGTTAGAACCAACCCTTAATAACCACAGAGTGTGATGTGTTTCCACTGGAGATTTTCTCTGAGCACAGGACACATTTAATGGTTTGATAACTTCCTGAGACTCAGATCTCGTTCATATACTATATTGCTTTTTGCATAAAGTATTTTATGTTTTATTTAGCTCAAATGAATCCCAGAAAAAGTTAACTGTGTTTATATAGAAATGCACGTACAACTGTTTAGCTTCACTGTCTGTGCTGGAAGAGCTTTCTAGGCTCTTTTGTATGTCTGGTCGTTTGTATGTCTCTGTGATAAAACACCTGACCAAGGCAACCTAAATGAAGAAGGCTTTGTTTGGGGTCATGTTTGCAGAAGTGTCAGACCATCATGACAAGGAAGGCATGGTATGTTCACATCATGGTTACCAGGAAGCAGTAGGCAGAGGTAAAACAGACGGCAAGCTATAACCCCAAGGATACATCTCCAGTGGCTTCCTTCCTCCAAAGACTCCAACTCTTATTTCTCACCACTCCCAATGATATCATGGTGTTTCAGATCCATTAAGAATTACTCCAGTAGTCAGGTCAGAGCCCTCATGAGCTAATGGTCTCTGGAGATGTCTTCATAGATCCCACTAACCTAGATGTTCCGTAATCTAATCAAGTTGACTATTAAAACTTGGGTGGGTAAGAAAGTGGAAAGACTTGGGAGGCGTTAAAAGGGAGTTGAATGTGATCAAGGCATATTGTCCAAAATTCTCAAAGAACTAATAAAAACTGAGAAAAAAATTAATCAGCACATCATGTGTTGGCCAGTCATGGTGATGCATGTTGGTAAAATATGCTGAATAGGCAGAAGCAGGTGGGTCATTAGTTTGAGGCCAGTCTGGGCCACACCTTGGGCTGGAAAAATGATTCAGCGGGTACAGTGCTTGTGGTACAAGCATGAGGGTCTCAGTTTGAATCCCTAGAACCCTTGTGAAAAAAGGAAGCCAGGAGCATCTGTAAACCCAGGGTTTTTGATGCTAAGGCATACACACACACACACATACACACACACACACACGTGCGCAAGTATGCATGCTTGGAGGGAGGGAAGGAGGAGGGAAAGAGGGAGAGTAAAGGGGTGGGGAGAGAGAGGGAAAGAGAAAGATTAAAAAGGTAAGGAAGGAAGGATCTGATTCATTTTCTTAATAATATCCATCAAGGTAGATCTACATGATCCTAACGTCTCTAGATAGCAGTGAAATTTGGTCCATTTCCCAATAGCTCTTTGAAACATTCGGAGTTAGTTCTAATTTATTCAGTTCCCTCCTTGGCCTCTCTGTAGCCCCAGCAGGAGTTAGGAGAGGGCTAAGTGAGGACCACAAAAATGTCGACCCTGCCTGAGGCCTCGGTCCCCTGTGGGGACCATTCTGGCTCATTGGCTTTCCCGTGTCTCTGTACATCAAGCACCAAGTGTGGCTTCTCAGCCTTCGGTTCCAACTTGCAATGTCAGTGGTTTAGAAAAGCAAACAAATGCATTCTCAGAGGCCCCCTGAGGTTCGCTTCCACACACAGATGTCTTTTATTTCATGGCGCTTTTAAGAAGTGGCAGGTGCTGGTAGGAGGAAAAAAAATGAAGCCTTTTCCTCACAGTGTTGCTACAGATAAGGCAGGCAAAGGCAAGATGCTAGGCCTGCATACTTCTGATTTAAGCGGGTGTCTTCCGGCCCGCCGGGGAGCACAGAGAAGGTAGGCACTTGCTGTCTTGCAAAGTGAACTCATCAGCTAAAAGCCATGCATCATTTTCCCCTCATCGCTCCAAAAGGGCAAGAAAAGCCAACTGCGTGCTGTCCTCTGAAGGAGCCTTCAGAGAGACTGCTGGGCATCCCCCACGCCTCTCAGGAACAGCTTCCTCAATTTCCACCTGAGAGACATTGCTACAGCTCTCCCCGCTGTCCCTCATACACTGATTTTATTTTTATTGTTCCCCTTTACAGAGGGCTGAACTGCTGGATAATGGAATTCAAGTGATCCAGGTCTTTGCTTTTAGGGGCTTCTTCCAGGGCCAGCAAAGGACCAAAGACAATAGTGACAATTGGCCAAAGGCAGGCTCGCAGAGAGCCTCTGGGAAAATTCCTGTGAGCTCTCCTAGAGGTCCACAAGCTGGCACCACCCACTCCCTACAAGTTAATTTGCAGAAACTCCTACTTCGCTATACCAGAAACTCAGGGGCTGAGGGACCATGTTCCTAAATGAAACACTGGGAGCCCTCTTTCCTGGCCCTGACTGTCAGTGTGGTGTTGTTAAGCACAGAAATGGAAGAGCACAGACACACTCAGCCAGCTCCACTGAGATCTTCATCTGGACATTCCAGAGCAAAGGAAGCTCCTGGGCAGGATTCTGCCTTCCCGAGCTTCTGTCTCTGCCAGGCACAGAGCACTGACATAGCCGATCACTGAAGCTCTTTGTCACTTTAGTCCCACTCTGTCATTAGGTCTAAGACAGCTGCTGCGCAGCTCCTGGTGGAGCCCACAGTGTGCTGATCTTCATCAGCTCGCAGCTGTGGCAGGATCATTCATCCTCTCCCTCACATGCGTACGCATATGTATGTCATGTATATAAACATGTGCACCTGAGCTCACGTGTATATAACACAGAACACATACATGCATAAGGCCATGTGACCACATGTGATTTATCAGAGTCTACAAGCGCAACGACAACATGACTCTAAGTCCAAGAGACCTAACTGTGTGACATAAATTGTTCTCCTTCCTTTTAATCAGTGTAGAAACACAGAACAGAACAGCCTAAGGATGAAAAAGATTACAGTTTTAGGTTTTGGAGTCTGTTGTGTTTGTTTGTTTGTTTATTGTAGTTTTGTTGTAGTTTTGTTTGCCTTGGTTTTTTTTTTTTCCTTAAGACAGGCTCTCAGGAATCCCAGGCTATCCTCTAATTTGCTATGTAGCCAAAGGTGTCCTCAAACTCTCAATCCTCTATTTCTCCTCCTCTGCTGGGGTTGTGGTGTAACACCACACCCAGTTAGTGTGGTGCTGGAATCTGGCTCAA